TTTTTTTTTTTTTTTTTTATTTTTTGTGTAATTTTGTGTTGCTCACTTCTTAGTAAAATCGTATTTTGTACTCTTGGGCTTTCTCGGTTGCATTCAATTTGTTTAAGTATTGTCATAATTATAACTCCTTTATTACATTTTTCTCCAATTGGTCAAACAATGTACAGGTAATAGATCCAGTAGCAAAAATTAAAAATAAGAAATGTTAGTGGGAACGCCCACCTGCTGGTCTGGTCAATCCTTTTAGCTTGGTGTCTGGCTTGAATCTTCCTGGAAATTGATGATTCTTAGAGTTCGCGAATTCTTGAAGGGTGCTAGGGATGGAAGGGTTTGTTTTTCCTCAGCGCTTTTGCTGTGGGGAGTTTTCTGGAGGAAGATGGGCGATTAAAAGTTTTTTAGGTTTCTGGGTGACCTTCCCGGGTTTCATTATTTGCAAAGTTTGGATGCAGTTGTGAGGTCTGTCTCAGATTTTGGGCAGGTGTGTTAATTAGCAAATGATTTGGTAGTGACCTCTTTAAGACTTGTGCTTTGATTCTACGGCGCTGGGAGGTAACTTTTGGTTGTGTTTGACTGCTACCACTGCGTGAAATCTTACCTGTTCTTGCGCCAGTGATTGATCATGTTCGTTCTTCCATAACAAGTGTTGCTACGTGGACCTGGAATGAAATTATTGCTTACAACGAAGAGGATTTCTGGGTTTTTTAGCGATCATGGTGGGATGAAAAGACAACTGGTTCATCACAGTTTTGGCTAAAACAGTAGTCACTGTACCATCAGTTGCTGCATTAACAACTTGTAGAGATTAGTAAAATACCATCAACGATCAACTGAATGCTGGTAACCAATCTTATTTGTTTTTGTGCATTTTTACACAGATTTTATCGACCCCTCCTTTCTTGCTTAATTGTTCCTCCTTCGCACTCAAAACTGACTCTTTCTATTGGATATTTGATACTGCATGAAATCTTTATCATTTTATGCTTGTTGGAACGCAGGGCTGAATAACCATTTAAAGATACAATAGGTCTAATGGGCGAATGACTGACTAGTTTGCTGAAGTTTGTTCACTATTTTCGCTCTGAGGTTGATAATTGACTGGAAGTGAAACTGAGGATGGAATTTTATAAATTATCGTTGCAACACTTTCAAG